GGTTACACTTTATAAAACAAGATTTTGTGTATTTCATTACGTTGATTCAGCTGCTACAAATTATTAATTTTTTTTTGTATACTCTTAATGTAGCATACATTTGTTTTTTATGTGAGTTGCTGGAAACAACTTTTGTACAAAGACAGACTGGGTTATTAAAAATTGCTGGAAATTAAATTGTTTTTTGCCCCCCCTCCCCCCCATCCGATTAATCGATTAATCGAAAAAGTAATCGATTATCAAAATAATCGTTAGTTGCAGCCCTAATATCTTGCTGACACTAACATTTGTCTCACTGACAACAATCCACTTAAGTCTATTTAAAACATTAGACCATTCACTGACTGACCTTTAGGTAGGTGTCTGTGGTGCTAAGAGTCTCTCATGATGATGTTTCGGGGTTATTTTGTGAAGTAGTTTCTCAAAAAGTGCATTTTTTTTTCACACTACCGAAATAACAGAATTATGGAGATGTGTTTTTCCAAGGACAATGACAATACATTTTGTTCTTTTTAAGGAAAAATATTATAAAGAAAAGCAAATCTTTTGATGATTAAGAACATAATTTGCATTCACCACATTATTTTATCTGTAAGATGTTTTGTAAAAATCTACCGATTGATAAATTAGAAAATGACATGCATAAAAACATATAAAACCAGCAGATATACAAGTAATGCAAATTAACCACCGATAAATGTCTTAAAATAAACATTTAAAAAGAAATTGTAATACACCAGAAAAACATATTATGGTCAGTTTTAAGAAATGTACCAGCAGAAACATTATGCAGATGTCAGGCTCTTCACACTGTACCTGTTGATTAGTTTGGCATGGATAGGTAAGCATTTAGTTATTAAAGAATCATCACGTCCATCACAGTTTTTAATGTGTGAAACTGAACAATTTTAAACCTTATTAGAGGTTCAGTTTAAAAATGAAACAATTAAATGTTTCTTTTGGTAGATGACAACTCAATAAGTTTGGATTTTACTAATAGTAATATTAATTTCTCTTTCACAGGAAACTACACTGGGCCAGAAAGATTGTCACTCATTCTATTATCGCATTGACAAAAAACTAAAGGAACACTCAGTTACCTGCACTAAACGGGGCACAGTGCTGGAGGCACTTCAAACAGATCAACCTTTCAGAACCTTTTTGGAGAGAAACAGGGAAAAAGGAAAAAGCATTATCATTGAAAGAGACAACAGATTTCTAGCCACACACTTTCCTTGTTGGTTATTTAAAGACGAAGAAACTGTCCTCATTAAAAGTTTCCCTGGTGAAGCAGCTGAGGTTTCCCATGGTTATGAAATAAAAGACGGTGATATCATCACATTTTACATTAACAGTATTGGTGGATTGAACATGAGGAAAATGTCTTTTTTGAGGAACCCCAAACTTCAAAAGAGGAAGGCCCTTTGCATATATGCATATATTGGGGAGACAGTAGAGGATGCATTGAAAAGAGATGGCCGATTTATAGATGAAGTGTTTCAGGGATCGATCTATCTACGCAAAGAAGGAGAAGAAAAAGAATATGATTTAAGCACAGTCATTTCTCGAGTATTTAAGGAAAGGAGTTTAGAGCTGCAAAAGACAGGTCAGAGACAAGCAGAAAACAAAACAGCAAATGATAAAACGAATCCTGATTCTGGCAGAAAATCTGATCCTAGTTCTAATGCTGGCAATCCATCCACAAGCTCTGCTCCTGGTGGATCCAAACCCAGTTCAGACAAAGCAATGGCAGATAAGGGGCCTAATTTATATAAGAAAGTACATGAGATACCAGACTCTACAGAAATCCTGAAGATTCTACGTGAGCAGTTTCAAGGTCTAGTGGAGCAGATGAAGGAAAGACACAAGAAAACAAAAGTAAAAGATGTGGTAGAGTTACTAAGGGAGGAGTTTGGAAAGAACATACAGAGCTTCTCTAAAGTAGGCACTGTCAAGAAGCTGATGAATATGAGTGCTTCAGTATGTTACATTGAGGTTGAGAACGAAATATCAGGTACAGGCTTCTTGCTGTTTGATCGTTATATCCTAACAAATGCACATATCATTAAAGCATTTACTCACAATAGAGTTTTAAAGCGAAAGGTTACTGCCACATTTGCCTATGAAAGCTCCTCATCAAAAAACAACAATGAATGGCCCATTAAAAAAGAGGTTGTTGCTGGAATGTATTCATATGATGAATTTAAACACTGGATGGATTTTGCTTTACTGGAGCTGGACCAGCAGGAAAAAGATGATGAGATGCTACCTCCTGCTCTTTTAAGTGCATATGAACCCCTCCCAGAGGAGGGAGGGATCTGCCTCATTGGTCACCCTGAGGGGGAGGAAAAAAAGATGGACCCAACTTTCATTGTTCCAAGTAAAGAAAGATCTAATGCTCTAGATGCACATTTTGGTGCGGGGGGGAGTCACCTTCAGTATAACCCCCAGTCGCAGGACTTTACATATCAGACCTGTTTCTATCATGGGTCCTCAGGCTCCCCCATCCTTGGGACAACCTGCCAACTGGTAGCCATGCACACTGGTAGCTACTGTTGGAAGAAAATTAATGGAAAAAAGTGCTATGTGCTTGAGTTTGGCATTTCCATGAGTTCAATATTAGTTAATTTGCTCCTACAAATGATGAAAAACAGACAAATTGAACTTCTATCAAAGTTAATTGCTGAAACAATGAAGAGCGAATCTACAATTCAGGTTGTCGCAGAATTTATCTGCCACATGCTAAAGGGGTGGAAAGAAGATCTTGAAAGTGTTTTATTAACAGTCATCACTACTGCAAAGGAGTGTGATGGATCCTCCGAGCTGCGAACCTCACTTTGTAAAATCATTCCAAGAGATGATCTCAAGACACTGATCAACAGTCACAGATCTTCAAAGAGTCTACATGAACTCTCTGAATTTCTCAAGGAGAAAGAGACACCCATGGAAACTGACCAGCAGACTGCAGGGAACTAGATCACCTTCAAAAAAACAGGCAGAAAATGAGCAAACTCCTGCTAATTTTCAGAATGACTTGCATTTATATTTGTGCAAGTGCAAATTGATAATAAGGCAACATAACCATGTATTTAACTGAAATGATAGGAGAATAAAATGGAAGAATCTCAAACTGTTTAGAATAATGAAACAAAGATTGATTCACTGTATTTTACCATGACATAATAATTGTATTTATATATTGTAATTTTCTTTTTTACTCCTACTTCTTACCTTTTTTTCTTCTATTTTTACACAGCCAAATAAGGGCGACTCAGAGATACATTTCACTGCATGTTGTACTGTATGTGATGAATAAATCTCTTGAATCTTTTGGGCGGGGTTCACTCACATTTGCATTTATCTAATGTCTTGATATTCGTTTCTATGTATTATAAAAACATGTTGTCAAAGTTGGTATAAGCACAATAAAGTAATTAATACTGTAGCGTACCGGTCTTGGATTTGACTCAAACCCCTGGGACATGACGTATACACTGGGCTAAATGTGTCATGGGTGTCTGCGAAGACTCCTGAATTTATAATCATTTGGGGAGGTCGGGCAAGATGGCGGCCGAGTTACACGACTTTTTCCGTGGCTAGAGAAAAATATGGTTTTCTTCTCACCTTGTTATTAATAAATGATTTCTTACCTAAATCTTGGTAATCAACAAAGGCGGATTTTGTTTTTTCAACTATAATTCCCTTGCCTCAACGCGTTTCCTCACCGATTAGCTTGATTTTGCACACCTGCTAATGGCTGATAAAAGACCAAGAGAACAAGACAAAAAGAAGCCATCTAAGGCGCTCTTCTCCACTTTAAACAACAAAGGAAATAAGGAAATTGTGAAGACTGAAGAAGTACACTCCTATGCCATGACATCTCTAGACCTTGCCTCTCTCCCAGTTTCTGCCCCGGGGACGCCGGCTCCAAAGAAAGGAAAGACGGAACCTACTCTCGGTGAGCTGCAAGATAATATTGTGAGACTTTTAGCTGAAAAAATTAAAGAAAACACTAACCATCTTGCCGTTCTAATATGGAAAAATACTGACACAATTGAAGCTTTGAAAGAGACAACTGAATTTTTGTGT